GGAGGAAGGGGGAGGGAGGGGGTGACCCAGACGGAGCCCATCCTCCTCGGCGATAGGCAGCTCCTTCGACACGCCCGGCCCCCCGCTTCGGCCTCTTCCCCCCTTCACCCGCGGCTTGTGGGCCCTTTTCCCTCCCTCCTGCCGCACCAGCCCTCCCTCCGTCCCTCCCTCCCCCTCCTCTTTCTTCGGAGGTGCCGTCAGCTCCCCGGGGGCGTGATCCCTCATCCTCCCTACTTCCCCAAATAGCTTGGAAGGCGCGGGGACCTGCGTGTTCCTTCCCTGAGGGCCATCCGTCCATCCCCCCTCGCTTCGCCCTTCCTCCATTTCCTTCTCTAACAGCTGTGCCACGGGTTTTTCCAGCGCCTCCCGCTGTTCCCTCAGGATCTTCACGAGCTTCTTGTGGGATTTGAGCGTGCTTGCCTTCAATGCATGGTAGGTCTGATCGTCCCATTTGCAGAGTTTAGCTTCCTCCCTCAGTTTCTTCTCCAGGGGGGCCCGGTCCTCGCGCAATTTTCGGCGGACGAGCGGCAAGAATTGCTGGTAGTATCGGACCAATAGGATCAACATCCCCCCCATCGGCCGTGCACGCGACACGCGCCCCGTATCCTTTTCTTCACTCCCACCGACCACGTCCAAGGCAGATACACGCAACAGAGATAAGCGTGCTTCGTATTCCCCCAAGGGGCTGCTTCGCATCATCAAATCGAACGAATCGAATAGCGCCCGCAAATCGGGGGGAACGCTGGGACAACGGAAGGTCGAGGACGGAGGGGTCGCCCGGAGGGAGGAGGGAATCAGCTCGGTCAAAAGCCAAGCCGACGCCGGACCGTGCGAGGAGCTTCCTTCCCCGTCCTCCCCCCCGCCCTCCGCCTCGCCCTCCCCTGCCAGGGCCTGTCGAGTCAAGCGGTGCAAATGGAACCAGTACCGCATCGCCTTCCCCGCCACCCCTCGCGCCTGCAACTCCATTAGGTCTGGCCAGCTTTCCAGCTCGATTTTCCGCCAGCGCATGACCAAGGGCACCAGGACTGCCATCTCTGCGCCCAGACTCACTGACTTGCTCGCGTAGGCCTCCCATTCCTGCGCGGCTCCTAAGGTAGCTTCCAGACCCAAGAGAAGGCGGGAAAGGGATGACCGGACCCCGAGATTTCGGACCCTATCGGCCGCGCGGGCCGCTTGGATCAGGCCTGCGTGCCCCGGCCATTGCTGCAGAAGTGTCCGGATACGCTCCAGGAGCGGGCTGAGGACGGGAAGGAGAAGGCGTACCTCGGCAACGGGGGCGGGGTCGTGGTGGAAGTCGTAGAGTCGTCGGTGTTTCAGACGCACAGCTCCTCCCTCCGTTTCATCCCAGAGGCCCGCCTCGAGCAAGGTGTGCAAGCCTCCGTCTGGGTCCTCTCCCTCGTCCAGGGCCTCTCTTCGGCACCTGTCCGTGCTCCCCCTTTTATTCCCCTGACCGTGCGCCGGGACCGCACTCTTCCCAAGCGCGGGGGTCACGTTGGCCCCAAGGCTCTCCACCGCCATAGACAGCGCCAAAAGATGGGCCGCTTCCAGCGCCTGATCCATCGCCGGCACGAGGACGAGCCCATCCTGTACCGTGGGCATACTTGCGCAGCCGTCCCCGCTGCGGGTGGCCGGATGCGGAGCCATTGGCAGGGCCAGGGCAGAGGCAAGATAGTATGACGAACGGAAACACAGCCGTCGAAGGATAGGCTGATAAGATCCGATGGTCTGGCAACCACCCCGACCGCCCGGCCGCTCCCTTTCCCTCCTGCTCAGGGCCAGCCGGGTCCATATGCCCACGATTGCCGCCACTTGCTCATCGCCAGGTCCAAATGCACAGGAACCGTCGCTCGAGCTACCCTCCTGCGTGTTTCCACTTTTCAAAGCAGCTGCTGCTTCATTCATCGGACCGACCATCACCTCCTCCTCGACGTCGTGGGGGAACAATCTTTGGAGTTCCATCGCCTCTCTTCGGGCGGTCGCCGCCAAGGCCGCAGCGTCTTCTCCATTCACGCGCGCTTCTTTTTCCTCCCGCTCCAAGAATAAAGCTTCCCTCTTCCGAGATTCCTCTTTCGCCCGCGCCTCCGCCTTTTTCCATTCGTCCCCTACCCGGACGAACAAGCTGTCCATCTCCTTCCACAAACGAGCCCGCGCGCCGGGGGCTTGTACTGCGTGCCATTCCAGCTCCAAGCGGCACAGACGTGTGACTAAGGCCTTGACCGTCAGAGATGAGGACAGAGAGGTGGGATCCAAGGCTTGGGCCAAGCGACCAGCGACACGCTCCGCCCACCTTTCTTCATCCCCCAACTGCTTCCCTGTACCTTCATCTCCCCCTCCCTCCGAACCCTCCGGGCACAAAAAGGGGAACTGAGCCAGGACACGAACCGGATGATCCTCCTCCTTTCTGCCCTTTCCTATATTCCCGCCATCTGCTCCCGCTTTCGCCGCCGCCACGACCCCCGAAAGCCCATACCGTACTTCCCCTATCGCGGACAAGAGGGGATCTATAATATCAGCGAAATATGAATATTCTCTGCGTAGACGGTCCACCAGGCATCCCACGGCGGCTTGCCACGCCTCTACTTGAGCATGGGCGTGCGCAAGGGCGGCAGGAGGACCCGACATGGGGGGTCCAAAGGGTCGAAGCACGGCCTCCAAGCGCGTCGAAGACAGCAGTCCCCGCGCCGCATCCAAAATTTCTGCCCGCAGGGACAGGAAACCTCCCTTCTCTTCTCCCTCTACATCCCCGGGCCGTTGAACCGCCCGACGGGCCAATGCCGCGCTTTCCCTTCGCAGTGCTTTTCGTTCCTCGTTCATTTCCCCCCCCCGTCCGTCCTCATTCCCTTCCCCTCTAAGTCCCCTTTCCAAACTCCGGGCCCAGATCCGGGCTGCCGCCTCGGTGTCAAGCCAGGCCAGGCGTTCGTCCACCAGGGCTCGTTTCGCCAAAGGTGCTTCTCCCGGGTCCACGGGGCGGGAAGGGAGGAGCAAGTGAAACTGGAGCACGCCAAGACGTGCCCGGGCATGCCCGACCCACAGGAAGGTGGTCGCAAGGGCGACAGCCGGCGGAGAAGACAGAAGGGAAGCCAGTGATGCGCAGGCGTGGAGGGCGGGCTGCAACAAGGGAATGGCATGGCTCGCGAGGCGGGGGTCCGTGGAGCGGGCGGCCAGACAAGCGGTCGCCTCCGCCCAACCCGGATCAGCGACGGAAGTCTCGAGGGAGGATTGAAGGCGACGTAGGAGGGCCTGCCAGTCCTCGACGGCGAATGTGGTCTTAAAGGCTTTCAGGATATGCAGGGATGCCTGCCGGAGCTGTTCCCATTCCTCCTTTGCTGCGTCCATCCCGGTTTTTAGCTCTTCGCCGGGTTCCAGGGGGCGAGCACGAACGAGGAACCGCATCGCGTCTTGCAGTTGCCGTCGGCGCAGCTGTCCTCCCTCCACCGAGGCCAGGCCCACCATTCCCCGGTACCCGCCCCCCACCTGCAGCAAGGACCAAACAAGGCGCGAGACCGGCGCCGCCAGGAGCCAAGAGGGGTCCAGAGGTCCGAGAGGCCGACGGTTACCGTCCTCCTCACCTGTCGTCAGCTCCCAATGAGCCTGGGCGCCAATGCCTTGCCAAAGGATTTGATGGAAATTCGCGTTCAAAGTGGGTAGCAGGGAGGCAAGTGAGTGTCGAAGTCTGGATGTGTCGCCTGTGGCTCCCCCGGCACGAAGGGTCTCCAGGGACGGGAAAGACGCTTCCCACAGCCAGACAAGGGACTGGAAGGGGCGGAGGTGAGAGATGTGACGGATTTGGAACTGGAGGCAGACGCTGACAAGGACCTTCGCATGATTGACTGCATGCTTGACCACGCTCAGGGCTGGAAGTGAAAGACCGGCTCCTTCCCTGTCTGCCCTATGTCCTCTCTCTTCGATCCCCTCCAGAGCAGAAAGGGGAGGATTTGCCGCTACCCTTTGCCTAAGTTGCCCTGGTTCCTCCATTCCGCCCAAAACGAGGGCACGAAGCAGGTCGGAAATGACCCATCGCTCTTGGCGCGCTGCCCACGGAAGGAGCAACCGGCCGATCTGCAGGCTCGCCCAGACCTCTAGGCGGCTCGTTCCTACCATCAGAATCGCTCGTTTAGCGGCCCCACCCCTTTGTTCTCCATACTCAAGCGCCTTCTCAACCCCCACATCGACATGATCGTCCTCCTCGCCGTCCTCCTCGTCTTCCCCCGCGTTGATCGAGATATCAAGGGCCTGTTCACGTGTCTCCAACGTCATGGCATCCCGCAAGGTCTCCACCCTGCCTTTCAAAGACATGGGCAACCCAAGCAAGATCGTGGTATTAGAACAGCGTCCTGTGGAGGGGGCGATCGAAGGGCGGGCCTGTGGTGGTGGAAACTCGTCGGTGAAGGCCCAGTGCAGCGTACAAAGCGCATCAAGAAGCTCACGACGGACAGGCTCCGGTACCGCCATGCGAAGATCGCCTCGACGGAGGGCCTCTTCCAAAGAGGGTAGGAAACACGAAGGGGAGAAGGAGGTGGTGGAGGAAGAGGCGAAGGAGCGGCCCAGATCATGCAAGATTCTCAGGACCTGGGCCTGCTCGGCGCGAAAAGCGACGGCAGGATGACCACCTTGTTTCCATAAACGATTTTTCAATCCGTACAACCCACCCTCTGCACAAGCGCGCTCGATATCTTTTCCCATCCTGTCCACCAGATGAAAGAGCTGCCCCTCCTGGTGGGAGAGCAAGGGCGGGGAAGAGGGGGAAGGAAGGGCGGAATTTGGCGGGAGAAGGCGTCGCACCGCCTTCGCGAACCGGGACCAAGCGGCCAAGAATCTCGGCCACGGGAAAGGGGTCAAATGTAGCGACGACACGGTACAGGAATTGTGGGAGAGCTTTAGAGCGACTGCCCCATCCAAGGCCTGCCACAGGTCGTCCCGCCGGCGCCACAGGAGCCGCAAGTCTGTCTCATAACAAACACGCCTCTCATCACCATACCCTCCGCCCTGGTGGGGGGATAGGGAGACCTGGAGGACGACCGCGTCAAATGCTTTCAGGAGGAGAGGGACCAGGGGAAGGACGGGATAGCCGTCCAGGGCTCCACTCGACAACAACTCTTCGCCTGCTATCCCCCAGCCACTCAAGTGGTGTTCCCTCCCTTTCCCTGCTCCCGACCCCGCGGCCTCCGCTATGGCTTCCTGCTTCAAAACGGCCAGCTCCATCCATGTCCAGTGCGGCCCTGCCTGGCCTCTCTCTCTCTCTGAAGGGGAGGCTCGTTGTCTGGAAAATACTTCCTCTTCACGCACCGCTTGCGGCAGTCGCGCCAATGTGCCGGCACGTGCAGCAAAGGCCGCTGCCTGGAAATGCATCCACGCCTGATGCCCCTGCTGGGCATCGGAGGCGGTGAGGTGGGCCTCCCACAAGCCCTCCATCTCGCGATGATCCAGGGGCCATTCCAAGCGGTGAAAAGGTGAGCCGGTGGACCTATTGGAGGGTGGAGAGGAGGCCAATTCCAGTCCCAATTCAAGAGTCCGAGCCACCAGGGGACAGCGACGAAGAATCACCTCGAGGCGAGCCAAGGCTTGCGAGACACGCACCGCCTCACCTGCCAAGAGAGAAGCCGGGATATCGGCGGCATGGAGTGGAACAGTGGGGCTCGCGGTGGAAACAGGACCGAGTATGGCGCGGGAAAATTCTTTTAACAGCGCCTGTAAGGCCTCTATTCGAAGGCTCAGGTGAGTAGCAATGCCCAAAGTCCGACGCACGACCCGCAGACAAAGCACCAAGAGCAAAGACGGGCTATTCTGGCCTCCAGAGGAAAAGAGACGTGCCTGATAGCTGGCTTCTGAGTCCTCTTCCTCCGGCTTGCCACGCTGTACGTCCAATCCCAGGCACATGCTACGGGCCGCATCTTTGCCGTCCTCATGAAGCGGGCCGTGGGGGAGAAGGAGAGGACAGAGCAAGCCCTGGAGGGCCCAGAGCAGCTCAAGATCGCGAGTGATCGAGCCTCCCTCCGGGTCCACAAAGGTCCCGCCCATCCCATCCCTCTCGCGGGACCGCAAAGCCAATGCGGGTAAGGACTCTGCGGCATGAAAGAAGGCAAACGATGCTTTTCCTCGACCCACTTTCAGCAACCGTGCCCAGAAAGGGTTGGGAAAGCCAACATCCGCCCCAGATAGAGGAAGGGAGAGCAGACCCGCGTACGCCCGCGCGTACCCCTCCCTAAGAGCAGCCTCTCGATCGAGTCCTTGCTCCATGAGGCAACCAACCAGGCCCCCCCACCGCACCAAGGCGCCTTGCAATCGCCATAGCCCCGGGGACTCCCCCCTCCGTACATCAGAAGGGAGGCTACTTACCCCGTTCTCCCCCGCCAGGCTGCTTCCTTTTTTCCCTCCTTTGCGTTCGGCGAGCTCCATCAGCACTGCATGCATTTCGACCATGCCCGCAGCCAGGTCCAGGGTGCCCGCCTTCCCCAACATCTGGGCCACAGCCAGGGTCAAGGGCCCGCCTAGAGCCATCCGCGCCGTCCCTCCCCCTTCCACCCTGCCCTCCTCCGTGCCCCCCTCGGCGTCTTCATCGCCTTCCAGCACCGCCACTTCCAGACAGCGGTTTCGCATGGCTCGAGACACCTCCCCCACGGAGGGGTCCATGGTCAGGAACAAGCGGAAGCTCGGGTGCGGTCGCAAAATGCGAGGGGCGGGGGCTGCATTCCGAGAGGAGGATGGGGAGGTCCCTGCCTCCGTCAAGAGAAGGGAGCCATTCGGTTCAAGGAGGGCGTTGAGCCGGTCCAGGACGGAGGCGGGGCAGAGGTTCACGTTGGTGAGAAGGAGCCAGTGCCCGCGTTCGAGGGCTTCGACCAGAGGCCCGTCGACCCAGGCAAACCGGCCGTTGCGGGAAGGGCTGGGGGAGGAGGAAGGGGTGGGAGGGATGCCTTCTTGAAGGCGGTGGAGCTCGACACGCAAGGACGACGAAGGCGGGAAGGAGGGAGGGAACGCAGCAATCGCTACTTCCAGAGCAGCCAGTAGACGGCCATGCTTTTGCTGCACGTCCTTTTCCTTCGCCGCAAGGCTTTTCCCACCGCCCTCCCTCATCCCAACCGCCCTCGCAACCGCTGCTCCTGCCTCCTCCAACTCCGTAAGCACACTCAGAATGGCCTCTACTTCCTTATCCCTTTCCTCCCCTTCCTCCCCTTCCTTGCCCCTCCCCACCAGCTCCCCCACCACCTGCACCAATCCTTTGTTCACGCCGGTCCACAAGAGACAAAGCCGGGCCTGCCAATCCTCCCACGCCTGCCCCAGATCCTCCTGTTCGTACGAGCCCAACAGCTCTGACACGTCCGTCCCC